TCATTTCTATCACTTCTATGCCTGCAGGTGGAGCCCCCTACAGGCCTGAAGGTGGAAGTGCAGAGTCGAGCCCCTATTTCACCCGGAGGCAGCACAGACACAGCAAACCGTTAGAGCGCTATCAGAGCTGCATGACCCTGCCCTCCGAGGGTCTGGTGGACCCCCTGGACCGAGTGAGAGACAGCGGCAGGGCAGACGGGGAGGAGAGGGGGGTAGCCACAGGCAGCAGTGGGCCGGCGAGCCCCAGGAGTGTGAACAGCGCCCCCTGTGGTCTGGAGGACCACCGTGCAGGTGCCTCACGGTTAGGACTGGCCTTACCTCTTGGACTGACTCACTCATCACCAAACGCGTCTCCACAGCGCATGGAGTGGAAGGTAAACGGTGCAATAACACTGAAGGGAAAAGAATAAACTGGTGGAGTTGCTGCAAAATGACCAGTCCAGCATATCAAGGGTCTCATCACAGGTTCCTCTCCTACAAGGCTGGACATCATTGGATGTCTGAGAAAACCCTCTGGCCTTAATAACAACTACAAGATTGTTTTTGATTATGATCACCAGGAAAGAGATGAATTGTTTCCCTGCTGTTTTTATTCTTTTTGGTAGTTTCTTTTTTTCCTCTCAGCAGGTGATCAAGCAGGTTGTCTGTTCTCTCTCCATCCTTCTTCTTCTTCTCTATTTTTCTTTTGCGCTCCTTCTGTTAACTCTTATCCCAACCTCTCTTTTTCCCGTCCCCGTCTTCTCTGTTCTAATTGTAATAAGTCCAAATCAAAAAAATACAATAAAAATAAATAATAACAATAATAACAAATGTCAAATAAAATATGTCAATCAAGTGGACCAGTATAGCAAAAGCTGTAATGGTCTACTTGATTGCTACAGTGCTGGACGGGACAAAAGAAAAAATTAAAAAAAGAAATGAGTTGTTCATCAAAATGATACAGAAGCTGCTGTGGTCCAGTTTAACATGGTTCACTACTGTAAAGTACTGAAAATGATGTCAAGTGATTTACACGATTTTCAGCTAAAGACCTTCAGTGTCTGAGCATAAAATGTAAAATCTTTTGAAAGATGCCGTACAACTGAGCTACTGGAGCTACGTAATCAATAAAAAATAAACTTTTCTACATTCAAGGCCGAAG